AAATCGGTGTCCAAGAAGATATCTGAAATGAATCAATACTTTAACTGAAACATATTGTCTGGCCTTCATTGCAATGTTTGAGAACCGATATTACATAATAATTTACTACTCATTTTTTTTTTTTTTTTTTATTTCTTAATTCTTTGCTTAAATTTTGGAAGACATCTTTCGCTGTCCCAATGCGCCTTCGGTGTCGCATTTTCCACCTCTGTTGAAACACTTTCTATAGATCTAAATTTTTGTACTTACCTGATTTTGGTTTGATTTCGTTTCATTTGTTTTGTTTTACGGCATTTCAACCTCAATGGGTTATTTAATGCTGACAAGATTTTTATTGCTGGTAATATTTTTTTTTTCCAAAAATGTATTGTTATTACACTATTTACATTATTCGGACTATTGTCCTCATCTTTGTCGCCATATTTATTACAATGTTTCGGCCGTTGTACGCTCCGGTCTTTTTCAGGTGGCTGGAATGTCGGACTAAACCCTTTATTTCGCTCACTGGGGTAGACTGTTCTAGTTCCACGTGCCATTTTTTTTTTAATGGATGTCAATTATCAGTTTTCTCCTGTTAATTCCCCTCTCCAAATTCTCCACTGCCTTAACCGACAGGAGACATGACACAGTGGATAAAGGTGTTGGTTAGTTCCAGTGACAGGACCCAAAGTGTGTGAGTTCAATATCCCAGTGAGCGAAATAAAGGTTTCAGATTGACATTCCAACCACCTGAAAAAAGCCGGAGCGTACAACGGCTGAAACGTTGTAATAAATATGGCGACAAAGATGAGGACAATAGTCTGAATAATGTAAATAGTGTACATAATACTTCATCTCAGAAATATAGACAGAAAGATGAGGACAATAGTCCGAATAATGTAAATAGTATACATAATACCTCATCTCAGAAATATAGGCAGGTATTTTTGTTCATATATATTTTTCAAAAAAATATTGCCGGTATTTTTATATTTTCATATTGTTTTGACCCCTTTTGGGGGATTGACTATTTATCCATAGCTGGGTCCAGGGTCGGGGTGGACTTGGGAACACCAGAAATTAAGAGGTGGTTCCACGATCTTCAAAAACTCCTGATCAGAGGCCTTGCTGTCGGACGTAGTTTATTGTCTTACCCAGGACGCGGATGTAGTTTATTGTCTGACCTAGGACACGGATGTAGTTTATCGTCTTACACAGGACGCGGATGTAGTTGATCGTCTTACCCAGAACGGGTTGATTTTGGCTGCTCCAATTTGTATTTTGGGCTGTTCCATTTGCTAACAACCATGCATTCTGTTTAAACAGCTGATGCTTAGTCCTTTCTTCTCGCTTTCCTTTACTATCTTTTCTATTAATGCATGTCGTTTTCTTTTTTTTTTTTTTGTCTGCTATCAACACTGTTTCTTCTTCGTATCTTATGTTATTAACATTGTCATTGAATAAGTCTGCTGGGAAGATATATATTTGTCTTACACCTCTTTCTATTTTGTCTACTTACTGAATTCCTTTTCTATCCGTATACAGTCGGTTTTTAGGATACTTTCTGACTTAACTTAAAATCCTTCCCAAATAAATCAAGCCTAGCTAGCAGTTCAAACATTTCTTTGTGGTGTCAATAAAATATATGTATTCATACTTTCGCATTTTTATTGCTCTTTCAGATATCAATCTCTTTTCTGTTGGGATTCACTCACATCAGAACAACAGAAAAACTTTCTGTTCACGGAGATAAAATCATACGTAACATGAAATAAAAAATACATAAATAACATGAAAAGAATGGTAAATTGAATGTTAATTTCATACAATTTATTTATATTTTTGTGTGCATTGGTGTGCATATTTTTTAGGTTACAATTGTTTTTATGGTACATGTGATAAAAGGGAGAATTTACTCCGCAGTATTACAAGCCACATCACAGAGAGAAATTACACACGTGTTGCCCGTGCCAAGGTACGTGGCGAAGATATGGAATTTAACGTCTTTTAACCGGATGTCCGTATTTTTGGTAGGAAAAGTTTTTGCTGCATTCTGGGATGGTTTTTATTATTTTAAAATTTTATGTAATTCATAAATGTCATTGTTTTATTTTATTCATAATTTTCATGATTATTATTATTATTATTAATATTATTATTTTATATTTTATTTTTTATTTATAATAATAATAATAATCCTGCAGCTTAAATATGACATGCCTTGTTCTAGTGTCTTTAACAAAAGCAGAATGTTATTTTCCCTTGTCCCTTTAATACTGTTACTTGAACTAGTCATCAGGATTCAGATAATAAATTTTCATATGTGGCTCATTATGTTGATTGTCCGATGCATTTCACATTCTTTTCACCTGGCTTCCTGTGCAGAGCTATGAAAATGGATTTATTTAGAACTTCCGATATCTCCCCGCTGTCTTATGTGCCACTAATTTTTTTCTGTAATCTTGTGAATGGATGGAACCATCTAAAGCTTGCATTGTCTACATTACAATTCTATCTGATCCTGCTGCCTTGTTTCTTATCCTTTTTAAGACCTGAAAGTTGAAATTTTATGGAGCCTTTATAAGAGCCTGCACTCTTTCAAGTTTTATGCTACAAGCGCAAAATAAGAAGAGGCAGACAGTGAAAAAATAACGTGGGAAGACAAACTTATTGAGTAGTCTGGAAAATCTTTTATAGAGACTCAAATATTTAGCAAGCACACTAGTCCCTATGATCACACATGTTCATTGGACCAAGTAATGCTGATGATGATTATATCATATAACATCCGGGTTGTAATTAGCTTAACAAACAGCATTAAGCGGAGATTCAAAATTAATATCTGGGATTATTGTGGCAAGAGAAAATAATCTGGCCCAGAAATCAAGCATAAATCATTTTGTATTCGGTTCTCTTCTCCTCGCCAAAGGGCTCTCTTGTTTGTTGTAATAAAACAGGCTATAAAAGATTTCATTTCCTTTATCTTTGCTCGCACATGGTTTTAACGAAAACAGAATTCATCTCAAAGACAGCCAGCATGATCAATATTCATTTCGTGACACTAAAAATTAAAAGAACCATTAACTCCATTTTGACTGCGATAATGTATTGTCGAAGAGACGTAAAATTCTATTATTTCTATTTCGGTACCTGTCGGCAAGATAGTCAAATTTTAAATCGACATTTTTTTTTGTTAATTTGAAATTCTACATATATTTGAAAATAATCGGGAACTGTTTTAACAGAGGACGGCAAATGCTACACCGAAATGCGAACGCCCATTTATATAGTAAAAAGTTGCCTTGCAAAAGCTAAACAAAGTACTGAGAATGAAGAAAGATGTGCTGGAATTTTATGTAATATCGATCTCTTTTTTATATAGCAATGAATGCAGGGAGAATATCTTAAGGAAAAATGGAAACAAAATGAACACATACTGAAATATAGATAGCTGAAATTTCTTTGATACATAATTAGGAAAGAGGGCTTGGTGAATCTCTCACGCACAAGATATATCGAATGAGATACACGCTCTCAAATTGATAATCCAACCAAAGTTACAATAAGATAATAAAACCAATTGTAACCGAAAAGGATATGTGGGTGGCATAATAGAGAGAGCCTGTTTCGATCAAATATGTAATGATGTGAAAGGGGACTTAGAACTCATATAAGTTAAAATTTTACGTGATACACGCTTAAATTTATCAATTTTATCTTTCGATACATGACTGACGAGGCAGATTCTTTCCCGCATTTCCCATTTCTTTCTGCGGTAGACCAGTTGCTATCCTAGGCTATAGAACTCGGCCTGTCCTGCCATTTACCTATAGCTGGGGGGAGAAGAAGAGAATCCATGCCTTTTCCAAGGGTATTAGCACGTAAGTGAATATAATGGATTGAATTCGAACTCGGCTCTCCGATTCCTCAATCTGAGCGCTATTCATTACGCCACCATGCCTTCTAAGAGGATATCAGCATACTCGATCATTAACTGAAGAATGAAAATTCTTCAGAAGTACCAAAGTGAAATTTACACAGGTCTTTTTAATTATTATTATTATTATTATTATTATTATTATTATGTTGATTATGTCTCATCTTTGATTTGTATAGGATTAATTGCTTGAAAGTTTTAACCATATACTTCAAGAGACAAAAGTTTGTTTTTTTTTGCTTTAGAACATGCAAATAGATAAGTCTTGAATAACCGTAAATCAATGCGATATCAATCGTTATCTACTCTCCTAGTGAAATAGAGATGTTATCAATTTCAAATCTGTTTTATTTGTACCCCCTTATTTCTTAAGATAACGACCAGTATTCATATTTATAATAGTTATGTTGTTAAGCTCAAATATTTAACGATGAGATAGGGTCATTTCTACGAACTATTTCTTGTCGTAGAACTCGCCATGAACTTATTAACTTAAGAATTAAGATCCATCACAAACTTTAAAATAGGAAAATCGTGAAATTTTCGTGGGTTAAAACTAGTCTTTTAGAATTATTTTTTAACAATGGTTACGTTAAAGTTTTAGTTAATAATTAACTAATGTTTTGTGCATGGAAACGGTTAATTTCAACATTAACATTATGGGCCTAGCTTATTTAAAGAAAGATGGAGCGAAATATATGTTAAGAAAAACAGAGTCTATTTTAGGGAAATCTCGTCTTTCCTTTTTTTTTTCTTTTTTAAATCAAATATAGCGACTATATTCTCGAATTATTCTGACCTGTGACTTTTAACCTGAGGTCAATTCTTCAGCCGTTGTGTCCACTTGGCGTTAAGCCGAGCGCCTTATTGAATTGAAGGGGCAGAATAATGCTCCAGCCGATCGTTTTGCTGATCGATTCTGTGGAACTGCCTTTGGAAATAACAATGGATAAGAAATTTGTTTCTCATCGCTTCTCGATATAATTAACTTCGACATTGTAAGAAATCTGAAGAACAATCACAAGACGAAAGAGAAAACCAAATTTAATATTAATGAGTAACGTACGTTGGCATTGCTTTACTCATGGAATGGTCTAGGCAACTGATAAAGCAGGGTATAGTCAGATCAATAACATGGGTAGATAAGAATCTATCTATCTATCTATCTATCTATCTATCTATCTGTTTGTCTAGCTCAATTTCTTCATCTATCTATCTATCTATCTATCTATCTATCTATCTATATATATATATATATATATATATATATATATATATATATATATATATATAAAATGGTGGTTTCTGCTTGGAAAAATCCTTGGATAGCTCTGTTCAATTGCAGTAGAACAAAATTTAAAACCCGAGGAAAACGAGGAATAAAAAAAGAAAGAACCAAGATCATTAAACCAAGGTGAAAACAATTGTTGAGTGTTCCATCTGCGATTGCTTTTTACAAAACCCCCCTACAAAACGAGTAAAAAGACAAGTATTTAAAGTGCTCAATACACAAATCCGACGATCCGTTTAGGTGAAACCTAGGTAGATTTGCCTGGCTCCTTAGGATTATCTTATATATATATATAAGCTTTGACGGTGCAGAGGCATGCGAAATCATAGGCATTTACTTACTACACGAACTGAGCAAAATAATAGATAAAAATGACACAGGACTCTACAGGGACGACGGCCTCATAATCTTAAGAAACTGTAACAAACAAAACACAGACAAAACTAGAAAAGCAATAATAAAGATTTTTAAATTTTTAAATAACAGATTCGACATTAGATATAAAAACTAACCTAAACGAAGTAGATTTTCCTAGATGTTTTACAAGAACCTAAGAGAAGG